AACAGATCTTCAAATAGGTCTTCGACTAGATCATCCATGAAAGAATACTTCTTCTCCAACCTCTCTTTCATAGTCACCTTTTTAAATTCCTTAGGCTTTTTAGCCCCTACTACAACGGGACCCTTTTTTTTGGTTTCGATTGTAGCTGCAGTCGAGGACTCAACCCTTTCAACGGCCCTAGGCCTCCTTCGTTTAGCTAGATGCAGCTCCATATCATGAGCTTTAGTGCATAGATCATTGAATCCTTCAAAAGTTTGAGCCATAAGAGCCGTAGAGAGCTCATGTCGGAAGTTGTTAAGCACATCCGAATTAACTCTAATTGTGTAAACTTTTGAGGACAAGCAAATGTCAAAGCTCGCCATCTTGCAATGAAATCTGTAACAGACTCATTGTCACGTTGCTTGGTCTCAATCAGTTCTGGTACTCCAACTCGTCTTTGTGTGTTGCAGAACTGTTTAAAGAACTTCACCATGGAATCCCAATTTAGGATTGATCCCTCAGGAAGATTAGCATACCAACTAAATGTAGAACTTTCAAGCGATTGGACAAATAGCTGCAGGCACAGGGCCTCATTCTGGGCTATTGGCCCGCATCTTGAAAGGAAATGAGCCACATGTTGTCTTGGATCTCCTGTTCCATCAAACATTTTGAAATCTGGTTGGGAAAAACCAGAAGGGAATGGAACAGCATCTACCCATGCTGGGTAAGGTTTTGTAATTATTCGAAAATTCTCATCATCTTTTTCTTTGACTTTCTTTACTTGTCTCCTCACCATATCATCAATCATGGCCATGAGCATTGGATTCATACCACCACTGGTTAGATCAGAGTAACAAGGACCATTACCCCCTGAGACTAGTGTACTTTGTATGCCTACAGATGTTCCCACAACAGGTTGTGTCATTTGTTTGGGTGCACTTCCTGGTCCTGTCATTTAGGCCTGCAACTGTTGCATTTGCTCCAACATAGCAGCCATTTCCCGTTCTCTTCTCTCAAGTTGTTCCTGTAGGGCCACCACTTTTTCCTTGAGACCTTGGTCTTGCTGGACCTGCGAATTTTCACCTTCTTTCTCAACCTCAGTCATCATAACTGCGACTTTGTTGATATCTTTCAATTCATTGTTTCCAATATTCGTTGAAACAAACGAGATAGAATCATCTTGTTCGTATAAAGGATTATCAACCCCCACAACATTATTTATATTTGAAGCATCTGACTGCGATGCTTTGTTTTGAGCCTGACGGGTTATAGACCTTGTCACAGGCCCTTTTCTTATTCCCTCCATAGATTGTTCAACCAAAGTAGAAATATTTCCCAAGGGTTGTTTACCCTCCTCCACCGTAGATTTTCCAACAAAGACAGGACTTTCAATTTGTTTTTGGGGTTCATCTTTCGAGAGAGCCCTTTCAACAGCTCCTATAACATTTGTTGCCACTGTTCTTAGTTCCAGTTTCTTTAAGGCCTTATTTCTTCTTCGCCTTTGTCTTTTCGAAACTGGACTGGATAACATATCAAGTCGAGCCCCTAGGGGCATAGAAGGAACCGTTTGCGTTTTTGCAAATTCCTCATGAATTTTCAAAACAGTCCCTACATTTTTAGAGCGGACTAATTGATGTTGATTCAAATCCCGTTGGGCCAACAGATGTTCCTTATTCTGTCGGGCCAACGGGTGTTCTTTATTCTGTCGGGCCAACGGGTGTTTCTTATTCGAACCCTGTCGAGCCAACGGGTGTTCTTTATTCTGTCGGGCCAACGGGTGTTTCTTATTCGAACCCTGTCGAGCCAACGAGTGTTCCTTATTCTATTGGGCCAACGGGTGTTCCTTATTTGAACCCTGTCGAGCCAACGGGTGTTCCTTATTCAAACCTTGTCGAGCCAACGAGTGTTCCTTTGGCTCCTGAGAGTTGACTGAGATTTGGTTTGATAGATTTTGTGCTCTGAACAGAACTATCGGTTCGTAGGCAACAACTGTTTTTTCAACAACAGGGGCCTTTTTTCCATCAACAGGAGTTTGGGTCATTACCCTCCTCCCAATGGCCCTAATGATGGCCATGTTTTCAACAGAAGCTTTCTTCTGGGCAGACTCCACCATTTTAATGGAGTCTTCTACCCTTTTGAGTAGTTGGGCCACAACATTTTTTGTTGCCCCCGTTGAAGCTGCAACAAAAGTCGCAGTTGCAAACTGCTTAGCCTCCTTTGCCTGAATTAGAAAGTTCTTCGTTCGGGCTGTGGCCCTCACAATTGCGTACTGCTTTGACGCTTTCACATAATCTTCAGTAATCTTTCTCAAACTTTCAGCTTTCTGGAGAAGTGTGACTTTCTTCGTCACACCAGTTACCTTCGGGACAGCCAAGAGCTTTCGCTCCGGAGCCCCTTGGGTGGCAGGGGAAAGAAGTGCATCTTTCCAGGATTTCGTTGGCTCTACCTTTGGGACAGCCAAGAGCATTCGCTCTGGAGCCCCTTGGGTGATGGGTGTTATCTCCAACCTTGGTGATTTCAGAACCATTGGAGTGTAGGTTTGTCTCCTAACAGTTGCTTCAGCATTCCTATAATAAAAGAATACGTCAGTAAGTTTTAACTATATATATATTATTATTATTATTTTTTTTTTTGTTCTTCAAAAGATGGGAGGAGAAATAAGTACCACTGGGCGTGCCAGAATTTGTAGACACAAATTTTAAAACATGAAGGGTATGTTTGGTTTGTGTTTGAGAGATGTGTTTTAGAGATAAAAAGTACGAAAAGTTGTTTGGTTTGGTTTGGTTTTGTTTTTTTCAAAAGATGTTTTGGAAAATTATTTTGAGAGAGAGTTTTGGAAAAAGTGATTGATTTGATGTGTGAGAGAGAGATTTGTTTGGAAAACTTGTTTGGTTTACAAGTTTTGAGAAATTTTTTTGGGAAAATTTGTTTGGTTTGATTATTTTTAAAAACTTATTTGTAGAGAAAATTTCCCAAAATTTTTTCAGAAATACAAACCAAACGAACCCGAAGTGTTTCAGCACATTTCAAAATTTACGTTACAAATGTCCACTGTTTAGTTTTTTTGGACTAAACAGTGTTGATTATTTGAATAGCAGGTTCTTATTTCCGATCTGTATTTCAGATCGTTAATTACATATTTTATACAAATGAAACCTCCGATTAATGAAGAACAAAATAAACAACAAATGACAAATTAAAAAAAAGAAAATTTTATTGAGATTGCTATGGGTTTTGAACCCTCAAATACAAAATACAGTTTGGGTTTGGAACCCTTTACCTATTCATCGCCATTAGCGTAGGCTCTTCAGTTCTTTAGGCTTCTCTTCTTCTTTTTTTTGTAACGATTTCTTTAGTTCTCAATTTCTTTCTCTCTCTCTCTGATCTTTTCCCTTTTGATTTTCCAATCCCCCGTCTTGTGTGATGGTCCTCATATTTATGGAGGGCCATCAGGTGATAGGAACGCTTCATCTTCATTTTGAATTTCAAATTGAATGATAGCGCCTATTTGAATTTTGAATAATTGCGCTATCTGATTAATCATATATCTGATTAACCGGATTGATCTTTGGGGTTTCATCCTGTGTGGTGTCCTTGCTGTAGGCTCTACAGGTGTCATCTTTCGTAGGCTCCACGTGTCATTTGAGCATCTTGAATAACGTCGTTAAGAGACGACGTTGTTTTATTTATACACTTCAACGGAGCAAGTTAATCATTTTGGGAAGTGATTGTCTGCAACAATCTTATCGTAGGCTCTATGTGTGTCATTGACTGTATTTGAAATTTAAACATAAATTTGGTTTAAAATTTATGTGCCAACACCAGTCATCATAGGTTTTATCATCAACAGCAAGAGGAAGTTCAGTATGAAAACGGGATTTTTTCTTCCCTGCAAAAAGATTTTAATGGCATGAGCCCAAGCCAGATAATTTAAGCCATTAAGTTTCTTGATAGTGATAGACTTAGGCAACTCATCATCTTTAACCACAAGAGGTTTGGTTTCAGCCATGGAAAACACAGCCAAAAAAAAAAGAACAGCAACACAGCCCAAAAAAAAAAAAGAGGGAACAGCAGCACAGCCAAAGTAAGAGAAGTCAGTGACCACACTAGCAGAAAACAGCCAAATAACACAGCCAAAGCAGCCAAATAATAGCAGAAAACACCAAACAAAGAAGTCTGTGACAGCGACACAGCCAAAGTAAGAGAAGTCTGTGACCAAAACAGCCAAAGCAGCCAAATAATAGCAGAAAACACCAAACAGAGAAGTCTATGACCAAACCCAGAGATGCCGAATAGGGAAGGAGGCAAAAAAGTACCAAAAATCCAACAAAACAGTACCAAATCTCAAAACAAACCTCAAGAAAGACCTTGATGATTTTCGGCCCCTATAGACAGGTAGAACTCGCACAAGTAGAGCGGAAGTAGTATTTTCAATTTTTCACCAAAAATATTTGAAAATCATTCAAAAATACAAAACTTACATCAAATGGCTCCAAAAAATTCCACAAAAATCACCATCGAACTCAGAAGGAAGAATCTATCCTTGAGAGCCCAACTTGTCCGTATGGATGATGATGTCACGCTGATGTCATCGTACGGATGATGACATCAGCACATTGCTGTCACCTCACAATTGTCTCTAGATTTTGATGAACACTCGAGAAGGCAGGAGCTTTGCTTTGATACCAAGTTAGAATGCACAAGAGTTGAATATTAAGGTTAGGGTTAGAGAGGAAGAGAGAGAAGAGAAGATGGTTTGACTAATTGGTTTAGAGTTGTGAAAATCAACCCTACTCCAGCAGTATATATTTCTATGAAGACATATTACAATATGACCATAGTACCCTAAACTAATAAAATAATAACATATGACTATTCTAACAACAGTAAAGGAACCACGTTGTGCACCTCTGCTTAAAGCTACTGTTTTAAATTTAACCTAAATACTGAGATCCAAATTGATATTTTTTCACTCTCTGTCTCTCATTTATTTTTCTTCCTTCTTTTTTGATTATAAACAGGGTGAAGTAATCAAAGAAGGACAAGTGATAGGCTTTCTAGATCAGTTTGGCACTGAACTTCCTGTCAAGGTGAGCCTTTTGGTTTAAGCTCCTTTGGTTGTGGCCCTTAAGATGGATGTGTCTGATGACTGTTTCTTTTGTGACATTCATTGAGCAGTCCGATGTTGCTGGAGAGGTCATAAAGCTTCTCTTCAATGATGGAGGTATGATGTCCTATTTTTTTTATTTGCAAGTTCTTTTTAATGTTTTTGGGTCTCTGGCTTCTCAAATTGCTTCAGGAAATATGTAAGACTTATTGGGCTTTAGTACGATGATGCAATATTATTAGTAGGAGTTGTGCACTACATGTGCTTTCATGTAGGGCACCCCATGTGCTGCCCACAAAATATTGGTCAATTGCTATCAAATTTGTTTCATGGACAATGTAGGGACAATTCAAGTGAACACAAACCATGGTGAAATCCCTAGAACAGATATATATGATTGTCATACTCTAGTTGATTCAGTGTGATTGATGATAGAACAGGTTTCAAACCATAATTTAGTTGACTTGTTATGCAACCAAGCATTATTGGGTCAGATAAGCCAGTTGCAGATGTAGTATTCATTGACAAATTAAATGAAGGCTAGTTTTTTTGCACCTAAGAGATAACTTTACAGATGAAAATTAATGGAAGAACTGTACTTATAAAATGGCACCAACGATATCATTTTGTTTATGTTCTTGAAACATGACACGTTTTTGAGGTGATACTGACATGTTATATCGTTGAGGTCGAGGTGATGCTGCTTCTATGCACAAGCAATTTATGTATTTCATAATCAGAATCCGCAAAAATAAAATAAAATAAATAAAATGTGAAGAAGAAAGAAGGAAAAAGAAATCTTTATATGTTGTCCAGTAGTCTAAGCTTCTATAGTTGGCACGTTGGTTTGTTAATATGTTTGGCTCCAGACTTCTGCTTATTGTTTTTTCTTACACTGGTTTACAGAAGCTGTTGGTTACGGGGATCCTCTTATTGCGGTCTTGCCATCATTTCATGGTATCAAGAATTCTGTCTCCTATCTGTGATTAAATATAGTCTCAGCTTTGTCGGAGATCACTAAGGTCTGCAGTTTACTTTAACAAATTGTTCAGTTCTTTCCTTCTTATGCTTCCTTGCATTGCAAAATTCGGGGACACAGGTGTAGCTGGTAATGTGAACTTGCTATTATTTGTCAGTTTAATGGACTCTAGATCCGGAAATAAATAATTTTATATTAGAAATTGAAAAACTTTTATCAGTTGTATTAGGTATCTTTCTGTAAGTTATAGTTATTTGTTGCGGATGGAATACCAAGTATGCAAAATACAAAAAAGGGAGCTGATCTGCTCCAAAACAGTGCTGCTCCAATATAGAAAATTTCATCGCAATAACTTTGGACCATTGTGTCCACTTTTGTAGTGAACTTAAAAACCACTGCAATTTCTTTCATTATGCACAGTTAACCTTCGTTTTTAAGTGGTATATTTAAAATTTTATGATTAAGTTGCTAATATTGGTGAATCAATTCCATATCTAAGTGGGATCCAATCCATTCAACTATCCTTTGGGTTAGCCAACTGCTACTCGTTACATTTTAGAATAGAACTGTCCCAAAGAAAGAATACTTCATTATGTGAAAACTTGATTCAATCAATTACCATATTTATACACTAATTTCTATTATTGACTTCAGGACATTAAATTGCTTGAAAAAGTGTGAACATCTTAACATTTAAGAGATTGTATTTCTAGGTCCCAACAAATATGATAGACGGACGAATCAAATAAATGAAGTTTGTCATCCTTGATCTCAGAGGTTTCGTTGTCCTTATAATGTAAAAGTAATTATGAGAATAATAATAGAAAGTACATATTAAAAAGAGTACATATATTAAAAAGACATGAGTTGAATTATCGTCATAACACTTTGCTTGCTCAGTGTTTCCTCGTTAGTGTTTAGAGACACTCGGATCCAGCTCCTCGTTCATCCTATCCAACAGATTCTGTTTAACCTTCTCAAGAGCCACTTCTAGGTTCTTCAGCTGCGCCATGATTTATAATTTCAACCTTTAGTCTCTTCAACAAAGTATCTATACACCATTATTTTCATAATTTAAATCAATTGTTAGAACATAAGAATCAGCTCCATACCTCTTCTTGGGCATACTTATTATGGATGAATAGCCCGCTGAACAGATCGTAACTGTTATTCATTGTGGTTTCTTTCTGCCAATAATCCCATGTTAGTGTTCTTCATCATAATATGTAGTTTGGACTTTGTTAGGTTGCCCAGAAGATATAGGAAAAGGAAAAGGAAAATAGAATCTTTTCCTTCATCCTTGGAGCAAGAAGATGAAGCTGAATAAAGGAAAACAAAGAGGAAAGATATGAAGCATTGAACTTTTACCAATTGAACAAGTGTCTGAAAGTTCTTGGTGTCGATAGGCGTAGACTCGACCTTCATTTCTGATAAGACCCTGCCAAACAATGAAATTTGAAGTCCCAAGACTGACTTTTTCTGTAGTTTGTTCATAGGTGAGTAGGTGGGGGGAAACATTGTAATACCTGGCAATTGTGTGAGTGAGAAATTGACTTCTAGCAGCCAGTTTGTCATGTTCTTCACAAGACATTTCCAGCATTTTGCAACCCTGGATCAACCACTAGATATATGAGCAAGGTAAACATGTATTTTGAATTAGGCATCATGACTCTTGCCTTTCTTTTTAAGTTTCTCGGACAAAGTTTGTAGAAACTATAGGTGGAAGGAGATCAGATGGAGGGGTTGAATTGGGTAAATTTATTGAATGTTTTCACTTGGTCTTAAAGACAACTCCTTTCGATGGAAACTGATGAGGTATATGTTAAGTTCATCGGAAGAATATGGAAGCTCGGTTCTAGTCCAACCTTGACATTTTGGCATACCGGTAGGTAATAGATGGTAACAGGATAGAACAAAAGAATATGTTGATGAGATCAATTCTTGACACAGTTTAAATGAACTTTACATTTTTGGCAGTCGTTTTGGCAACTCTAGGTTGGTTTTGGGATATGAATGTGAAAGGTAGTTTACTGATTAAATGGAAGGTTGCATAGCTTTCTTAGATTTTGGTCCTGACATGCTTACGGTTGTGTTTATTTTCAAATGTCTTGCTCTTAGATAACTTTTTTTAACGAGTTACTTGCATTTATTTCCACAAGGGTTAACTACACCAAGACCCCTTTACTATTAGTAAATATCACTTGCTTCCTCATGTATTAATTGCCTCTGTAATACATCCATTTTGGAGGTGATCTGGAGGGGTGAAAGTGTTCAGGGGATCAAAATGTATGTGTTCATAGGTGGGGGGTAAAGTGATATTTATTAATAGTTGATGGAGTTGGTATACTTAACCCTTTCCACAACTCTCACTTTCACAACATAGGGTCTACCATGTGAGATTTAGCAATCTCCAATAAGGTAGATTTAGCAAACCTACACAACATGCTGCCTATTGTATGATCAGAGTTAAGAGAGATCCGTCTAGTGGTGATTGGGAGCAGGAAACAAGGGGAGTTTTTGCTAGTTATAATCCCAGTTTCTGTCTAATACATACCTTCCTTGCAAAAATTTGAAGGAAACTGGAGCACACAGCTTCATCCCTTATTCGGACCCTGTCGTACATAAAATTTAGGCCTTCCCAGCTATCTCGCCCGCTTTGTGGTCCAAACATCGGGTGAGTGCAAAGCAGGTCCAACTCTGGGGGTAGTACCTTCCAAGTGCACATTATGATACATACATAAACATTCTTAGTAGGAGACACAATCAAACTTAGGTTCTGTACTGTAGTTAAAAAGGGGGTGTGATAGTGTGTACTTGCAATAGAACTTCTTTTGGGTGTTCCTTGACAGAGAGTACATCCACAAAGAGCGTTGGCCGTTTCAGGCGGTGCAAGGGAATTGAGTTTACGACATTGGATAGGGACAGGATTGATGTACATAGCAATATCACATCGTTTTCTGCCTCAAGAAATCTATCCATGTCCCTAGGAGTTGCAAAACATGTAATCTGTAAGATGAATTAAAAATGAAGAGACTCTGCAGAGTAATCACCGACAGTGGATTGAACTTAAGGATTATTTATATGAAAATCCCTTAAACTATTGAAAACTATTATTGTTTTGATTTCTCAAACTATAAAAGCATATAAATAGATTCTCTAAACTATTGAAAAGTATCATTTTGCTTTCTAAAATAGACCCTCTAAACTATTGTGATGTTTTACTTTAATACCTTCAGTTAGGGGTCTAATTTGTTTGTTTGTTTTTTTATTATTTTAATTTAGGGGTCACGTCATATCTTACGAATACTAAGTTTTTAGTAGAAAAAGTTAAAATCGTTCCCAGTGCTTTGGAAAGATTGTAAAGTTACAGGGCCAAGCTATCCACCCTTCAAAGCTCTGTTGACTGGTCTTATCAGCAGTTATTCTTTGTCATAAAACAAAAATATAAGATAAATTACACTTTTTTAGCAAGGTAGTTTAATTCAATTTTTACTTTAAATCATTATTAGTTTTAACTTGAATTATATTAGTCTTAAATTAAAGGGGTGAATTGTAATTTAGGGATTGTTTGGAGTGTTCTAAATAAGTACACTTTTTATTTTTTTAGACTAAAAAATTAACGAAAAAAATATAAATATTTGAGTTAATTTTTTGACTTTTTATGAAAAAATGTGTATTAAAAAATTGAATAAATTAGTGTGTAGAGAAAAATTAGGATTTGGAGTTGTGCAGCTGTAATTTTTGACTTTTAATGAATAGTGATAACTTTTTAAGTAACTTTTTTACTTTTTAATTTTTTTTTTTTTGTAAGTTGCCAAACTTGGCTTTACATGGGTGTTGACTCTTACAAAAACATGGAACACACACACAATATATATATATATATATATATACCTGTAGAAGGAGATACCCAAATCGTGACAGAGCTGTGAATGGTCGGAGCGAGAAGTAGCTGTAATGGAGTGGCCTTGTTTGATCATGGTTTTGGAGAGGAACTGTCCAAAGGTGCCGAAGCCTATTATACCTATCTTCAGGGTTCTCCAGGGCGAAGAAGACGATGTAGTAGACATTGTTAGAGAGAGAGAGAGAGAGAGAGGGTGGGCTTGATGTGAGAACAGAATTTAAATGAACATTTACTAACTGATAATTATGACAACATGTCTCTCTTGTTCGCTAGTTGTGCTTGGACCGACCTATTTCATTACGCATCCAAAAAAAATAATATATATATATAGAGAGAGAGAGAAGGATGGGGTTTGAGTGGACAAGGGTACCTGCTGTGCTTTAAGCACAGCAGGGTGTGCCGTGCATGCAAAAACGGTAGATTTTTTTTTTTTTTTTTTTGGCGCAAAAACCCCCCCCTACCAAAAAACTCAAACCTTGTCCCCCTATCTCTCTTTGGGGTTTCAGCACAACTATCTTAGCCTCCGTTTGAGAAGTGGGTTGGCTTTTTAGCTTTTTGACTTTTTTGGCTATTTTAGCATGGGCTTAAAAGCTTGGTTTGGGAATGGCTTTTTGGTTTTTTGGCTTTTTTGAGTTTTTTTGTGAGAGAAGAATGTAATGATTATGGGTTGGATGTGA